GCTGCCCGGCCGCCCCCCGCCCCCCGCGCCCCAGGCCCGGGACTGGCACTTACACTTCTGCAGGAGCTCGGCCCGCAGCGTGGCGCTCTTCGGCTTCCTCTTCAGCTGGAAGTGCTTCACGGGGGGCGTGAGGGGCCCGGCCAGCGTCGTCAGGGCGCTCTTGTTCAGGTACCTGCACTCCAGGGGCAGCATGGCCGACGCCTCGCACTCGCTCACTGCCCGGTCAAGGACCAACACAGCATGTCAGAGGTGCGAGGCCCTGCGCGGGCCACGGTGTTCACAGCGAAGATGAAGCAAATCCAAGACGCGAAGCGAAGCCAGCACCCACAGGACTGCCTGCCCGGGCCCCAGCCCTGCAGCCATCGCACAGCCACCAAGGCCATCGGGGTGTCTCTTTTCCAGGGCCTGGCCCCCCCAAGTGGCCTCCGGGACCCTGCTGAGTCCTGGCCTCAGAAGAAGCCACGAGGCAAGCTTCCTCGGCTGGCCACTCACCCGGGGGTCAGCGCGCAGAGGACACCTGGGGAGCGCTCTGGCTGCCCAGGTCAGCTGGGGAGTGGACCGCGTGACGAGCCCCTTCCTGACAGGCCCAGGCCTCTGCGGCCAAGAAGCCCAAGTGGAGCTGATGGCAGAGCGAGCCCCTCCCGCCCAGGGGACATCACCCGGGTGGCCATGGACCTGGCCTGGACCCAGCGCAGGACGGAGACGTCTCGGGTCTGCTTCCCAGGCCCCGGAGGGTGCGCAGCGCACTGGGCTGTTACGAGCGAGTGGGCCCGGAGCAGGAGTGCGGCCACCCGAGGGTCAGCGGCCCTGCAGCAGGACACGCACCGCTCCCCCCGGGGCCACCGGCTCCGACCCTGCAGACCGCGAAAGGGCCCCGGGGGAGCCGGCTTCACCTGCCAGGTCCCTCAGACACCCGCAGTGTCCCCTAAATGGTGTCCAGTTCGTGTCCTGAGCACGGGCAGCGCTGACTCCGTCGGCGCACGGCCCAGCATCTGCCCGAGCCGGGGAGCACCAGGCTCTGGGCGACAGCCTGACCAGGGGCGGAGCCGGGGCAGAGCCAGGACGTGACAGTAACTGCGTCCCAGACAACATGGCAGAGGGAGGACGGGGCCCCACTGCCGTCGCAGCCTGTTCCTCACAGACCGGCAGGAAGCTGGCCCGCGGCACGGGTGGCGCGTTCACGGCAAACGAGGGGCCAGCGTGTGCTGCTCAGTGCCATGCACCCCAAGTCCAACCCGTGGCGGGAGAGAAGTCTTAGAGGAAGCAACCCCTCCTCCCGGCAGGGCCCCCACACACACGCACCCTTTTCTCTGAGTTCCCCTAAGACATCCTGAACGTTGGGGTTCTGCTCTTCAAGATCGAGGTTAAGCGAGCCCGTGTCAGGAAAGGACTTGAGAATGTCGGCCACCATGAGGACCCACGGGTCCGAGTCTAGGGTGGCCAGCTGGATGATCTCCGTCAAGGCGGCCTTCATCTGCCGAGGAAGGAGAGACGGGGGTCCTGAGCGGCTGCCAGCAGCCCCGCTGCCCGCCACCCTTGGCCTCTGCTGGGACCCCACTGCCACCTTGCCCGTGTAGGCAGGTGGGGCCGAGCGGAAGGGAGCATCCACGATCCTGTTCTTGAACATAGAGGAGCCCTCCAAACCCACGGAGCTTCTGGGGGGTCACAGGCACCCTCCAACCTCTGCAGCAACTGGCCCCATGCCCAGCCCCACCCGCACTAGGACCTGCGGGCTCCCCTTCCCCGGGGCCCCCGCCCCAGGGCCAACCTACTTCCTCGGGCTCCCACGGCCTCCGCTGGGCTGCAATGCCCACTCGCAGCCAGTGCCCCCACCCAGACCCATTGCCCACCCTCCTGCTGGGGTGGCTGCACGTCCCACGGACCCCCGTGGCCACACCCGATCTCCACGTGTGCTGGTGCGACAGGAAACGTGAAGGCCAGCCACGATGAGCTGACACGTGCCAGCTCCTGCCTTGGGTGCATGTAGCTGGGAATGACACCAGCACCCACACCACATTCAGGGGGCCCGCTGACGGGACACCGGGGCACAGATGGCTGGGCCCGAGGCCGTGACGTGCGGTGGAATGCTGCGGCGAGCAGGTGGCCCTGACACACTTGGCAGAGCAGACGGGGTCCTGCCACCTGCAGTGCACACCCGGGAAGGTGCCGGGAGCTCCGCAGTGTGTGCCCACCGGCCCCTCACAGAGGACGATGGCCCTTGGGGGCTGGAGTCGGCAGGCACTGGGTACCGGGTGGCCCACATCATTCTCTCCAGATGGCACAAGAGAGCCCAGAAGAGGCTGGTACGCCAGAGGACCAAGGTGACGTGGGGCCGCGAGAGCTGGGGCCCCCGCCCGCGCCCCCTCAGTGCCATCTGCCAACCCCGGAGCCCCAGCTCGCAGGGACCGCTGCGGCCAGCCAAGAGCCCGCCACGCGGAAGCACCGAAGGCCAGCGTCTGCCCTGCTCCCCCCGGCCACGCTCCTCCAACAGGTGCAAACAGCGTGGAGCAGCGCGGCGGTCGCCCAGCTGTGAGGAGCTCAGGCCGGGGTCGCCCCTCTGCGAGCAGCTCGGGCCGGGGTCGCCCAGCTGCGAGGAGCTCGGGCTGGGGTCGCCCAGCTGTGAGGAGCTCAGGGTGTGAGAGGTGGTCGCTTCAGAACCCTCTGCTGCTGTGCTGTCCTGGCTGACAGATACCCAGTCCGAAACCTGAACACAGCCCCCCACACTCCCCTTCCCACCGGGCCCTGTCCTTTGGGGGCCTGCAGTCATCTGCCTGCCACCTCTTACCTGCGCCCCCCAGCCCCGCCCTATCTGACACACCGAGGCAGCGCACGTGCCTTCAAAGTGATCTGCGGATCCCATTCACACTCCGGCTTAAACCTGTCTCGAGAGGCCACACCAGAGCCAGGCCCGGCCCCAGCCCTGGCCCTGGTCCTGGCCCGCTGTCCTTCAGGAATGGGCCTGAGCCTGGCCGGGCATTAGGGGTCCAGTGTCCCTGCATGGACGACTCCTCCCCACCACTCAGATCCCCACACTCGGCCTCAAGGAACAGGAGGTGCCGCCCCGCAGCTGCCCCGACTCCCCAGCCCACGCACACTGCACGTGCCGCCCATGCAGGCAGAGGCGCAGCTGCCATCAGGGCTAAAGCCCCGAGGCTCCAGTGTCACTATTGGACACTGGGCGCCGCCTGTCGGCCACACGCAGCCCACGGGCCAGCGGACCCAATTCTGAAAGGCATCCCTTAAAGTACGCAGACGTGGCAAAGGGTAAATAAACACTTATCTGTTAACCTGTGTGGTGGGGATTTCTGTTGTTACAGGTGATGGCTCGTCTGCCACCCACCTACCCTTTGTTTAGCTGAACCTTAAGCTCTGTTCTCCATTAACAAACAGAAAGGTGTGAGCTGACAAATGTTACCTGGCACTCACTACAGGGAGTTAAGAATAAACACACGTCCAGGGGAACGAAAGTTACGTTAAAAAAGCTACTCGCATCTAAAGCTGGTGTAAGAGGCTCAGCGAAGCCGCAGGCCCCACCCTTGGCAATGACCCGAAGCCCTAGGAACCGGAGACACGGACCGCGCCGGAGGACGCCCGCGACGCCCGGGCGCCCAGACCACGCTGGCAGAGGCGCTGGCAGACGGGGCCCCGCGTGGCGGGCGGCGGAGCCGTGCGGCCACTAGGGGCCTGGCCACGCGCCCAGCAGCTCCGCTCCCCGTACGAGCCCAAGTGACCGGAGGACAGACGTCCATCCGATGCCTGAGCCTGCACGGCTGTGTTCCCGGTACCCGCAGAGTGACCGCGACACCGAGCCCTCCCTGATGGACGGGTGGGTGAAATGCGGCTCACCTCTACGATGCCATGGCACGTGGCGACAGGAAGAAGTCCTGACACCGGCTGCCACGTGGGCGAGCCTTGAAAACCTTAGGCTAGGTGCAGGCAGCTGCTCGCAGAGGAGCACACGGCGGTGACCCCACGCACACGGGCCGTTCGGAAGAGAGAAACCCAGTCACAGACGGTAGAAAGGTGGTCCCTGGGGTGGGGGAGCGGGCACTGGGGAGGGACTGCTAACGGACAGACGGTGGTGACAGCTGCGTAACACTGTAAATACACCAAAACCCCGGAACTGTACGATTTCAAAGAACAAATCCTATGTGAATATCTAGATGTGAAAAACTGCATGAGGAAAAAAATGGGGCGGGGGGCGGCTGAGAGGCCAGCAGAGGGAGCTCGAAACGCCTGCAGGCCGCTCCAGACCCGGCAGGCACTGTACGGGGCCCTCGCCTGGAAGCAAAGAGACCTGGCCATGCCTGGAGGCAGGAATGTCCCTGGTCCTGGTTAGGCGCCATGTCCCCATACGTCAGAAGTCTGAGTCAGCGGCACCGTCTCTGGAGGCAGACTGCAGCAGGACAGCCCTGCTGAGCCAACCTGGGCGGGCCGAGGACATGGAAAGGCCAGTGTCCCACAGACAGTCCCTGTCAGCTGGAACAGGGCTCTGGCCCGCCCTGACATCAAGCGCCTGCTGGGCCCGGAAGCTCTGCCTCAGTCAGGGGCAGCTGGAGCCCTGGAGGGAGCAGCCAGTAAGACGGGGGACGGCGGCAGCACCCGGCAGCTCCCGCAGAGACGTGGCACCGTGAGCAGTTACACCGCCGTGGAGTTTTAAAACTGAAACGAGGACACGAAGCAGAGAAATGAGCTCGAGACACAGCGGGACAGCAGGCGGCCAAGGCGGCACAGGCCAGAAACGCAGCAGGCCGCGGAGAGACCCCTGAGCGTCGCCCTGACAGAGCCCCCGCGAGGCCCGAACAGACCCACGGTGAGTGGCGCCGAGCGCTGAAGACAGACCCCCCCTCCCCAGGTACTGAGACTCTGGGGCAAGCCCACTCGAATTCCAGAAAGATTTCTGCACACAACTGGATGATGTGAGTCTAAACTTCCTGTGAGAAAATCAACAAAGAAAAATAGGAAGAAAGTTAAAAAATAAGAGAAAGAGTAATGTTACCAGATAGTAAAATGGATGACTGACGCCTTAGGGTTCCTCCCCTCTCATTTTATTCCTATATAAACTCCAGGTGGATCAGATTTCAGTTTGAAAAATAAGACCATAAACCTCGGAGAGCCTTCTCCTTTATGACTGCCGAGCGAGAAGGCCTCTGTGAGTAGAGTCTAAACCAAGAACCACAAAAGACAAGAATTTGAATTTTACTACACCAGTATTTTTTGCATGAAGAAACACAAAAAACCCTCCAAATCCCATAAATGAAATCAAAAGAGAAAAGGACAAACTGGGAAAAAATACTTGCGGCTCCTATCACAGGCAGTTAAAAAAAATACCCCCGAAGAAGTCGGTCCTGCACCTCGTTAAGGAAGCTTGACATTAGACAAATGAGTCGAAATCCTTAAAAATGCAAAGGGTACTCAGGCCCATTCCACATAAGAGAAATGCAAAGCAAGACTAGGTTGGGCCCGCACTCCCACTGCGCCGGCAGGGCGGGCCTCCCCCGGGGACCGGGCGGGGTGGCAAAGGCTCTCCGCAGAGCTCCCACGTCCCAGCTCCTGGGGCCGAGCCCTGGATCTGCCACTGCCCCCCGGGGCCAGGGCACGGTCCCACCCGTGCCTGCGCCACCATCCACGCTCCGTACGTGCCGACGACCGCCAGCCTGCACGGCCACCCCGGGGACTCGGCACCTGGACTGGCAGCAGCAGTGAGCACTTCCCAAGGGGCAGGTGACCACGCTGCCGACTACAACATCGACGGGCATGAGCTCTGCAAGGTTCACTCAGCAACATTCTCCAGCTTCTGACGTGTGCCCGAGCGACGGGCACTGTCCTGAGTTCCTGCTGTGCTCGTAGGCAGGAAGTTACGGGAAAATCAGGCTGCGTTCGTTCAGGACCGCGTCCTGCGCTCTCCACCGCCGGGGCTTCGGCGGCTTAGGCAGACCAGATCGTGCACCGAGAGAACTGATCTCTGCTCCCACGAGCTTCTGGGGCCGCCCGCAGAGGTTAAATGGGCAACGAAGCATTCTCACGGGGCCTGCGCCCTACCTGGCCCTACCTGACCCTACCTGACCAGGTACGTGCGACATAACGCCCCAAAGGCGAAGCTGAAACAGAAGCTTGATCGTAAAAGACAACTCTAGAAGTCTTCATAAGGGTCCCTGAAGCGGCTCAAAGGAAAATTCTCTTCACAAAAGGGGGAAATTAAATTAATCAGGCCTATTTGCTATGCTAGACTTTGGAGGTTTGGAGAGATTTTAACTCGACTGCCCCCTTCTTGAGGACAGAGATGTGCCAGTGACAGCGTGCACGTCCCCGCACTGTGTGAAGTCCTCGCGCCAGGCGGCCAAACCTTCCAGAAGGGCCCTTCCGGCCTGAGACAGCCCAGAGAGCACCGGGGCGAGCGGACCCGCAGCCGACGGCAGAGTCTGCACCAGGCGAGCAGAACGCGGCCCCTGGCTTTGCAGAACGAACCACTGAGGAAGCCAAGGTTCAGCTGGCGACGAGTCCTGCGCTCTCCACCGTCGGGGCTTCGGAAAGAGAAAGGCCTTGGCCTGAAACCCTCCCCTCGGTACCGCTCTGCCCACGGGCCGCTCCCTTTGGTGAAGGCCTGTTGCCCTGTGAAGCACCCTCAGACACCACCGAGACTGGGTCACGGGATGTGCGCACCTGCCCGACAAGGGGGGCCTTCGGACTCACCCCAGAAGCCCCTGAAAGCAGTTCGAAGCTTGCACAGCCTGCTCCTGGAGACGGTGCCCTCGATCCCCGCTGGGAAGACCCCCCAGGGCCCCCGAGCCCGCCAGAAGGACACCAGGCATGGCCACGTGTGGTGCCTGCACGTCCCTCGCTTTAAAGGCTCGCTCACCGCTGCACTCACTGGGGTGTAGGACACCCCGCTTATGGAACGCCTCAAAGCGACGTTATCCAGAGAGGATGACCGTCCGGACGAGGCCGGCCGGGCCAGTCCTCACGCTTACCCGCTGCTGTCGTAAGGTCTGTATTCCTGGGCAGGTCCGCGGGCTCCGTTCTCCAGGGACAAGCCCGTCACCTTCCTTATGGTTTGGGCGGTGTGCTCTAGGGACGCCACCCAACGCCCACCTCTTCCTTCGGTGAAGCTGCCGATCCCATACTTACCCTGCCAGCAGCTTCCTGACCGGCCCTAACTCCGCTGCGAATGTCACGCCATGCCCGTGAAGCCGTGACGGCCCCTCTGCCACCAGAACCGACACGCCGGTCACTTCATGCCCCCTCGCAGCAGGGAACGGCTGGTCACAGGGAAGACCTGGCCTCGCACCCCCTTGTACGAGGCGCCGTCTAGGCCGTGCGCCCCCCGTTTCCGGCCAGGCGAGGGAGCCGTGGCTGCACGTCCCGTTGTTCTAATTTGCTTAACGTGCCGCTGCTCTGTGTGACCAGAGCCTGACTCGAGGGGCCACACAGAGGGGGATGGCCCACCGGGCCACCGCACCCTCTCAGCCGTTCATCACGCTGGGTGACTTCGCCGAAACCGGAGCCTGGGAGCACACCGGACCGACGCCGGCATCGTGCTCGGTCGCACCGACTTTCTGGGTCCTGCAAACGCAGGGGCCGCTTTGTCCTCTAACTCGTCCCTCACTGCCCGGCCTTCCAGGCGACCGTAGAAGATGCCGATGGTGACCCGGCTAACTCAGCACAAAGGTGACGTTAGAGAATTTCTGTGCATTCAACAGGCGCCTGGGAGAGACCTCTCTGAAGCGATGGCCCTGGTTATTCCACTGGCTACTGTGCGACCACAGAGTCCCAGCGGGCTGGACGGACTGGAGAAGGTAGCCACGGCACGCTGGCAGCGACGCAGGACAAGCTGACCTCATCGATCACCAATGCTGTCTCCGGCAGGTTTTACCCAAAGGGGTAAATGTGAACCCTGAGAACTCATGGCTGCTACATTTCGGGAAAAGCCACGGGCTGACCTTCGAGCCTCCTGCTGCCTGAGTCGCCCACCGCGAGGGGGTCCTAGTGTCCCCCTGACCGCCGGATGGAGACCCGCCTCGTCTGTCGGCACGACACCACGTCCTCACTCGCGTCAGAGCACGGTCCGGCCCGACCGGAACCGTGAGGCTTGGGAGCCTCGTCTGCACGGAGGACCGAGCGGGGTCTGGGCTTGTGGACTCCCGTCTGGCCACAGAAGCACATGGAACTCGCTCCCTGAGCGAGCGTCACCCCACCCTGCCCTCAGAGGCCCCGGCTTTGTTCTGGGGCGCACGGGTTTCTGCTGGAGGCTGCGTCGCGTGGTCTGCAAACTATTCACCAGAGTAAAGTGTCTCCTTTCCACACCTCTCTGGGAGTTTTTGCTGGCAGATGCTATTTGTATAACGTTCTAGAAAATGCGAACTAATCTGCAGTGGCAGAAAGTAGGTCAGTCGTCACCTTAGCACGCGGAGGGGACGGGAAGAAGGGTCACGGGGAGGCGGCAGGGGACGCAGGGTGTGACCTGCTACCTCGCTGTGACGTTTTGACAGGTGTGCACGTCACACGGTACACTTTAAGTACGGGCAGTTTAGGTCAATTACACCAAAAGTGGAAAAAAGTCCCTAAAAGCAATACACGTTTTTAAAGAACACAAACACGAAAACATTCAATAGAACCGGACGGTCGCTATTTACGGGGACAGTGCAGGACATGGGGATGAAAGGGGTAAGTAAAACAGAGGAGACCTCGTAGGAAGGACAAGAAAATCATAAGAAGGAAATAAAAAACAGAGGTGAAGGAAGACGGGGTGACACGGCCCAGAGTGCGCCAGAGACGATCACGAGGAATGTGGGGAGGCCGCGCGGAGAACGGCGGGGGGTCTCACGCACTCCGAAGCGGAGATTCGGAAAGGCAGACAAACTGGGCAAAGGCACTATCTGAAGAGTAACTGCTGAGAACTTTCCAGAGCACATGAAAGATAATTATAATTTGAGGAAGCCCAACAAACTGTGGGATAAACTAAAAATTATTTTCACCAAAACACGTCAGAGAAAACCGCAGAACTAGCTGCAAAGTGGGGCCTTGGCTAGGCCGACCGGCCCAAGGCCAGCAGGGCACACGTCAGGCTGGACGCAGGGCCACCGACCCATGGCTGACGGAGGTGCCCATCAGAGGCAGCTGCCTCACCGCAGCCGGGGGACCGCGCACCGGATTCGGGGCAGTGGGAACGGCGCAGTTTAGCTGACATTTCAGTGAAGTGCTGGGTCTGTGTAAGGTCAGTGTCGGAACTGTGACAGGGACTGAGGTTCGGTTTCCTTGGAAACGACAAAGGCAAGAGACATGCAGGTCCTGCCTGGATGTCCCTTCCCTGGCCTCTGTGCCTGGGCTGGAAAGAGGGGCTCCCTCTCCACTGCAAAGCGTCTCATCCCCGAGCGAAGGTGGACGCTCTGCTCCCACTGAAGCGCTTTCAACAGCGAAGCTCCTGAGGGTCTGTGATTTAGACGACAGTTTCTCAGCGAATAAGACAGCCGCAGTGACCGAAGGGCTGGCTGTGACGCTTCGCGACTGCAGTCTGTCCTTGGGAGAAGCACTGTCCTGCGTCCTGTGCAGCTGGCCTTGTGTTTCTCATTCCAGCTGAGATATAGAAATATACGTGTAGCTGTCCCAGTCACTGGTCGCTGGGAGCCCTAAGACTTCCCACGGCAGTATCACGAGTTGGACAATTTTATGCATTAAACATTTATCTCAAGAAATGAAAGATAAATAAATAAATAAAGTTACCTCAGTCACCTCTGCTCTCCCTAAAATTTCCTTTGGTAACAATGTCAAGGTCTTGGATCAAAAAGATCACTGGTTTTATCCAGCAGCAGCATTGATGACTTCTTCAGATGGCTTTTGAATATAACCGAAACATCACAAAGCCAGTATTCACATTTCACGACACTTTACAGTTAGCAGAACACCCCCTGCACAGCCCTGAAATCATCTGCCTCAGTTTTCAAGACGTCATTCCCACCTCCCCAACCAGATAACAACTTCTGAGAGAGCAGGGGCCCGAGTCCTCCTTGGACCCCTCACTGAATAAACTGAAATACTGGATCACTAAAATATCTTTCCTCCTCCCCGGTGTTAGCTGAGAACTGTCGTTTACTTAGCTTTTGAGAGGAACACATACATCACAGAACAAGTGGACTGGTGTCAGGATTTCGTTAATAAACAGGTTGTAGCAGGTGCTGTGTCTGATGGTTGATTCTGGGTCAGCTTGACTGGGCCACCGGTCAAATGTTACTCTGGGTTACTCGGGGAGCATCTGCGAGGCTGTTTCTGGGTGAGATTAACATCTGGACGTAGAGTGAGGGGAGCAGACTGCCCTCCCTACGTGGGTGGCCCCCAGAAAGACCTGAACAGGACAAAAAGGCTGAGTGAGACACACCCGTCTGATGGACCCATGGACATAAACACAAAATTCCTATACCAAACATCAGGACGACATAATCCAACAATATAAAATGACCAGGTTAGGAATGCAAGTTGGTTCACAATTAGTCCTATTCTGTTAACGTGGTGAATTACACATCAATAGATATTTTAAACACAACAGCAAGGGTTGGCAAGGATATGAGAACTTAGAACACGTAAAAATCTCTGGTGTAAAAAGGAAAAATGCTGCAGCCACTGCGGAAAACAGTTTGGCAGTTCCTCGGAAAGTTAAACACAGAGTTGTTACATGACCCAAGCAATTCCCCTCCTAGGTATATATACCTGATAATTTAAAACATGTCCACACTGAAACCATAAAACATACATCCATAAAAATTTGTCGTGAATTTTCACAGCAGCATCATTCATAATAGACAAAAACTGGAAACCCAAACGATCATCAACTGATGAATAAAATGTAGTCTATCGATACAGTGGAATTTCCTTCAGTCATGAAAAAGGAATGACGTACTGACACATGCTCTAACATGGATAAACCTTGAAAACAACACGCTAAGAAGCCAGTCACAAAAGACCACATGTATGATTCCACTTACATGAAATGTCCAGAACAGGCAAATCCATAGACACAGAAAGTAAAGCAGTGGTTGCCCAGGGCAGGGAGGCGGAGGGAGGGAGCCTGTTAACAGCACAGAGTTTATTTGGGGGCTGATGAAAATGTTCTAAAATTGACTAGGATGATCACTGCACAACTCTGTGAATATACTGAAAACCAATTCAATTGTACATATTGTATGGTATGTGAGTTATGTCTCAATAGAGCTATTAAAAAACTCATTCATGATTAAAATAATTTTTAAAAAATCTAGGACTAGAAAAGGATTTCATGGACCAGAAAAAGGTATCTACCAAAAATAATACGGAACATACTACTTATTGGCAAATATTCAAAGTTTTTCCCTGTGTGACCGGAAACGAGAAACTACCCTGGACGCTACACCAGTGTCCTCGTGAGCGCAGTGAGCCAAGAAAAATAAATGAAAGGTAATTGGAAAGAGAAACAAAGTAACAGTAGGTACACAGAAAAATAAAGAAGATTCTACAGGAAAGTTACTGCAATGAGTAAGACTGTAGCACAGACTCTATTCAGAGACTCGTTTAAAAAGAAAATAAAATTTTAACAGATATCATCTGTAACAGCATGAAAAAATACTAAGTTTCTATGAAAGTACTTAACGGAAGAGGCAAGGCTTCAATTGAGAAAATCATAAAGCTTTATAACATTAAAAAAGACTTAAATAGAGATTTGCCTGCATTCTTATAAGATTCAGTATTATTAAGATGATTTAACCCCAGAATGAACTACGAATTCACTCAGTCTTAATCAAAGTCCCAACCGGTTGCAGGTGAGTCTATGTGCAGCCTGAGAAGTGAGGACAACATATTTATGGAGGTGCGAAGGGCCCAGCACAGCAAAGAGAGACTCGCTACACATGAAGTGGCATAAAGTGGCATCACAGGGCTCAGCGGATTATTAATGCAGCGACGTGCACATAGCTAAAGGGGCAGACTAGGGCCCAGAGACAAACCCACAGCCCAAGTGTCAGTGTAGATCAGATCGAAGGGTCCTGTCTGGAACATAGACAGTCGTTTCGACAAATGTGCCAGGCTTCGATGTCTGATCGCGGAAGCTAAGCAGGGTCAGGCCTGGTTAGGACTTGGATGGGAGACCGCCTGGGAAGTCCAGGTGCTGTAGACATAAATCAATTAAAAAAAAAAAATGCGCCAGGCTTACACATCCGTGTGGAACATAAACAAGTCGAACTCCTACATAACGGTTAATGCCAGGGAGACTGAAGACTCGAACGTGGAAAGCAAAACTACAGCACTGACGAGAAAACGGGGCGCACCCTCACCTCACCCGCCCCAGGCAGGGCGGGCGCCGCGGAAAGCGGTGCATCCGTCGCCTAGTCAGTCATGAGCTGCTGTGCGCCCAAAGAGTCCATGAAAAAGGCAAGTCAAGCCACCCTGGGAGACATTCGTGACACATATAACTGAAAAAGGCCTGCTAGCCAACATTTTTTACAAATTTCTACAGAGCAATTAAAAAAAAAAAGAACAAGAAAAAAAAAGGAATTTGAAGACGTGGTTCCATGGTGCAGCGGTGAGGACCTCTGAATTACACGCGGGAGGTCCTGGGTTCGCCCCCAGTGGAGCCACGGTCCATAGTCCATGGCCATGCCACCCTGAACAAGCCTGATGTCTGATCTCAGAAGCTGAGCAGGGTCAGGCCTGGTTAGCACTTGGATGGGAGACCACCTAGGAAGACCAGGTGCTGCAGGCATAAATTAAAAAAACAAAACATCTAAACAGACAACTCACAAAAAATCAAACCGAATAAACAAATGAAGAGATGCTCCACGAGGTAACCACAAGTTAACCCACTGGGAGGGCACCCCCAGGCTATAAGGGACAGCACCGGCACCAGTCAGGGCTACCGAACTGCGGGTCTGAAAGCTGCTACCGCAGCGAATCCTCAAAGTTCTCATCACAAGAAAAAAATACCCTGTAACTGCGCGGGCCACAGACCTTACCTAGACTCACCGCGGTGATCATTTTGCAACATATACAAATATTGAATTGTTACTTTGTACTCCTGAAACTAACATAATCCTCGATGTCAAATACACCTCAACTATAAAAAAATGGTGCAGGTACTCTGGAAGACAAACTTAAAAACACCGAACGGCACCTTCGCACACCCGCCAGGGTGGCGAGTGGGGACAGCTGATTCACAAGCAAAGAGCTGAGCACAACCCACTGTCCCCGGGTGACAATACAGTGCTGCGCGCTCAGGGAATGGAACGTTACGCAGCAGTGAGGACTCAACCCCAGCTCGCTGCAGCCCGGATGAACCGTCAAGGTGTCCACCGAAAGCAGACGGCGACACCCGGCGCGCGCACACACGGCACACGGGACGCACGCCACAGGGCAAGCTCCAGCCAGGGAAGCCACTCCGCTGCCGAGGGCCAG